GGGGGGGGGGGGGTGAGTATTATGAAGGAAGGTCCAAAGGTATTTGTTTGAATATTTAACTATCAGACGCAAGAAACAAATTATTAAATAGCCCGTGATTTCAGGCCTCAGCACCAGAGCATGTAAATACAAACCAGAGTCTTTCTGTAAATACAAACAAGAGTCTTTCTGGCTAACAAGCTTAGAAAGATTTTGAAGTCAAAGTGAATATGGTGAAATAAGTTTTCACATTTGTCAGCCCAGGATCTCAGTGAACCTGGGATCTGTTCTATCTTTCTGCTGTTGGAACAAATTAGAGTGATCTCAGAACTAGATTCACCCCACTGGTGCTGTTCTGGAGTGCTCTCACAGGTCCTGGCCTGGACAGAACCTGTGCTGTAACACTCACAGCACGAAGGGAGAGCAAGCAAAGCTACCTGTGAAAGCTTCATGCTACTACTGAATCTCATGATGGGAATCTCCAGCTTCTTTAGTACCGAGCTGTAACAGGGCCCCTTTCCCCTTTTCTCCACTTCATATTCCAGAACAGCCAAAAAGGTGGATCTCTGCAATACAGGAGTGTGGCAGCTCACCTCCAATGCTGAGTTACCTTTTAAATGAAAATAATAAACAAGTTTCATGGTGCACTAAATTGCATCAAAACATAACCCTTGCAGTTTTCTGTCATTTCTGCTTCCTTACGCTGACTCAAGCTGGAGGATTCATGGTGAATTTTGCATTTAGCTCCAGACCTCATACAAACTGCAAGAGGACAGAAAAGCTCAGCAGAAATGTATCTGAGAAGTGCAGCATCCAAAAGGACAGTGAAAAACTGCTTTGTTTCTCTGTGGCTCTTTGCGTGGTGTGTGTGCAGTTATTTAATCAGGGCATTATGAGCCTCTGCCAATGGCAAGACAGATGATTCTAAATGAAGCTGTGCACTCAGTAATAAGGACTGACCAAAGTGCTCGAGTGCTTGGCTTCAGAGCAGGCTCCCCAAGACTGTTGTAAAAATCATTTACTGGAAAGGCTGTAACCATGTTATTACTATTATACAAGCCTGACAATTCATAAGCTTGTCTTTTACATGCACTAGAAAACAGATGAGTTGCCCTGTACATAGTAAACCACCATTTTTAGTGTTTTCTAGTCCTTGGAAATTCCCCCCTGTATGTGAAGAGAAGGGCTTCAGGGACTTGTTAAAGAGACACCACTAAACAATCTCCTTCATATTTAGCTTGCACAGCTAATCCTGAGAGATCCTGACACAGTCAGGGCATCACATCTTCAGCTACCCTGAAGCAGCTTAACTCCACTGATAACCTGGCTGAAGGAGGCCATCGTAGGGTAGAAATATGCGTGAGGTACATTCCATTGCTGTGAATTAACACAACTTCGTTTATATCCAAAACCCAGCAATGCTTTCAGTACCACGGACAGAGAACTTGGCACAGAGCTCCCTTTCCACTCCAAACTGAAGAGAAAATACCGACTTCCATGACGTCCGTTCTCCCTGTAATGGACATAATCAGGATGTCCATTCTCTTGTGATAAGACTGCCCTCACATCACCAGGCAATGACAGGGAGCAGCACTCTGTTGTGCAGTGTTGTACAGATACACAACTTCTGCCTCCAAAGACATCCTGATTTAATACAACAAATCCTCAGAGTAAAAAGGGCAAATTCATATGCAGTAATAAACTTCTGCTTTTGTTAATACTCTTAGCGAGTATTTCATATTGCAAACAATATGCAAATACCAAAGGCTAATTGTTAAAAATTTAAACAAAAAATAAAAGAGGGGATGACAGTTTTTCAGCTCTTTCACAGACAGGCTGGCGACTACTGTCATCATGCCATGCAGTTTAGGATGACTGTAAGGAAGCATTACAGTAAACAGTAAGATCTATTTATTTTAAATCAATGCAAAAGTGTGACCAGAAGTCAGTGTTAGCATTTAAATAGGAAAGATAGGCAGGAATCATCTAAACCAGCTATAATGCTATAAATAGCATTTTCCACAGTATTTAAAGAAAGCTGCAGCCTAACAGCAAACAAAAGAAATCAATTACTCAAATATATAAAATAGTAATTTTCTGCTTTTCAAAGGACAGATTATGGTCTCTAGATTAATTCCTATTCCTATCTAAATAGTTATACACAGAGAAATATTCTCATTAAAAAGAAAGGAGTGTGTAGAAGGGCAGCTCAGAGCAGAGCCAGGGTGCACACCTGGACATTGTGTCCTAGCCCTGCCAGCAGCCCACTCTGGTGCTGGGTATCAAGCTATGATTTGGGTGGCAGTTCAATGCTGAACACATAATTTTGAGCAGATCAGATCTCCCTCTCAGCCTGCACATTGCTCTCTGCCAAACAGATCGCCTTTTGTCCAAAGCATGCAAGACATAACCTTTCCTGGCACCTCAGGATACCAGTTATTACTATTAGTATTAGTATTATTACTACAAGTGCTGCACTGCACTCAGCTCCTGAGTGCTGGAACAAAACCAGACACACTTAGGAGAACAAAAAAAGCACGTCTGTATCGTGTCAGAGAACCTGCAAAACTGTTGCATGTGTCTGACTCAACCAACTCAGTCAACAGTGATTTCAGTTTTTGATTCCATTTTAGAAAGTGTGGAGTTTCTCAGTCCTGAATCTGTGCCAGCCACTGCAACAAAACCAACACTGCAACTGAAGCATCAGTTGGAGAATTACACCCTGTCATCAGCATATGGTAGACAATAACATAGCCATGACAAACTGAAACTAGAGGTGAAGTATCATTCCAGAACACAGCACTCTCTGGAGAGTAAACATAGCAGATGCACTGGCTAAAACCTGCCACCAAGGTGCTGCAAAGCCATGCCATGTTTAAAAACATCCAGGTGAGACTTCATGATGCACACCAAAAGATGGGTGAGGAACCAAGGATACCAGCAACCCCAGCACCAGCCAAGTTAAAGGTGTCACAACAGATAGCACACAAAGCTTCTGTTCCTCTGGCCAAATCAAACACTTGATGAAACTTAGAAATATTTTCCTTGATACTGTCTAGTACAGTTTTCGTGACTAGCTTTTCAAGATCTCTTGCTTCAGTGGTTACCTGAAAAATTATAAAGGGTTTGCAGGCTTATTAGATTGCAAAGAAGACAGTTCTGCCAGTTGAAGAATAATAGCTGGTATCTTAGAGACAACAAGGTCCCACGGATAATGTGAATTGACAGTGATCTATCTTTTTTAACTACTCTTTCCATCAGCACTTTGGACGGGTTATGTCAATTGCTGCTTCCCGGAAAATTATGATTTCAAGAAAGCTCTCCCAGCACAGAACATTTGTTGAGCTCATCAATACAGTGCAAGCACTGAAGGTGTGAATTAAGTGCTGTACTGCTGCACCCTCTGCCCGAGACAACGAGGCAATAAAGTGGCAGTCATCAGTGCTTTCCAAATATGAAACACATTAAAGACTACCAATATTTATGAAAATCTCTATATTAAATCCCACCTACTAAACACGGGGGAGAGCAAACGTCCCAGCGATCCTCCCTCGGCCAGCGGCTCATCGCTCCTCTTCGCGGAGCGCGCCGCCCGTGCCGCAGGGAAAGGCTGGAGCGCCCGAGCCGCACCGGCTCAGCTGCCCTGTGCCTGCCACACTCCAGCTGCGTCCCCGACACAGCCCCCTCGCAAAGCACCGGCCTCAGAGGGCAAAGTGGTCACACGAACCCTCGTCCCCGAGAAACCCGAGGTGGCCTCGCCCCGCCAGCATGAGCCGGGACCGCCCGGCGCCGCCGCAGCCGGGGCTCCCCGGCCGGCCGGACCCGCGCCCGCGGCCCCCACTCACTTCTGCCCAGCGCCTCCGCCTTCCACTCCGTCTCCTCCACTGCCCCGTAGCGCCGCATGGGTCTCTCGGCCTCGGCGCTGGCCGAGATGGACCTGCGGAGCTCCATGGCCGGGGCTCCGCTCAGCCCGTGAGGCGGCGCGGGCGCTGCGCGGGGCTCGGTGCGCGGCGCGGGGCCCGCGGGCGGGGGGCGGGCAGGGGCTCCGGCACATGCTCAGTGCGGGGCTGGGGCGGGGGAGCCGCGCCACAAAGCGATGTCACACCTCGCACATGCTGCACACACGCCCCGCCCGCCCGGCCCTGCCTCCGCTCGGGTGGGCACTGCCCGGAGCTCCGCGCCCGCCGTTCGCTGCTGTGCCGCTGCCCAGCCTTGTCCAGCCTTGTCCAGCCCATCCCTGCCCATCCCACCCCACCGCAACCCCCCCCCCCCGCCCCACACGCACC